AGCAAGGAAATAACTTTATGATGGGGTGATTACCACATGAGGAACTGTGTAAAGGGTCACAGCATTAGAAAGGTTGAGAAGCACTGCTCGAAAATAATCACTAGGTATGTAAGTACTACATACATACCTAGTGTATGTATCTAGTTAGGGGTTTCTTTCCTCCTCGGGTTCCTTAAATTTACTATGAAAATATGTTGACCATAAACAAAAAGCAAAACAGAGAATTCCAGCTTCCTATCATCAGGCTTTAAGAATCAGCACTATTGCTGGGCAGTGGTGGCGCACGCCTTTAATCCCAGCACTTGGGAGGCAGAGGCAGGTGGATTTCTGAGTTCGAGGCCAGCCTGGTCTACAGAGTGAGTTCCAGGACAGCCAGGGCTACACAGAGAAACCCTGTCTCGAAAAACCTACATATATATATATATGTACTTTTGAGACAGGGTCTTTACTCCATAACCTGGCCTGGAAGTCGCTATGTAGCTCACACTGTCCCTTCTCTCACAGAAACCCTTCTGCCTCAGCCTTCCTAGTTCCAGGATTACTGATGTGAGCCACCAAATCCTGCTAAGAAACATCACTGTTTTCCTAACTTTTGAATTTCTCTCCTTCATCTTACACCAGAGCATTTGAAGCGAAAAAGAAAACCCGGAGACTAATTTCCTAGTGAACAGTCCTCATTGGGAACGCAAAGGCCTTTGAGTTTCTTTTTTTTTGTTGTTTTGTTTTGTTTTGTTTTGTTTTTCGAGACAGGGTTTCTCTGTGTAGCCCTGGCTGTCCTGGAACTCACTCTGTAGACCAGGGTGGCCTCGAACTCAGAAATCCGCCTGCCTCTGCCTCCCAAGTGCTGGGATTAAAGGCGTGCGCCACCACCGCCCAGCCGGCCTTTGAGTTTCTTTTTCTGCAGGTTGGCTAGTACAGGACAGGGCACTGGAAAAGGTCTGCCCAGGGCTGGTGGATTTCTGGGAGGTTGGGGAGAGGTGGGGCACATTCCTCATGGGCTGTGTCATTTGTTTTGCCTTTACCCAAGGCCTTCCTCTGCTGAACTGTCTCCAGCTTCCGGCTTCTGCTGTTCCATTTTCTCAAACACTGAAAAGTCCAGCATCTGGTTTCCCCTCACTGCAGACATCCGAGGAATGCTGCTTTAGAAACTGTTTTTGGTGTGAAAAATGTCAGTCTGGCTGCTTAAAGCTATTTGGAAGTTTTAAACGTTAATTAACAAGGGTGGGGCAGTTAAGTATTGCCACCTGGAACCCCAACAGAGGCCTCACAGTAATTATTACACAGGCCTGCCGCTTCCTGTCAGGCTGCTGTTATACCTGGTGCTCTTCCTGTCAAATACTGGATGCTCTGGGCCAAGGATTGCATGCTGCTTATTCTGTGAAGTGTGGTATTGTTGTGTGGGGAAAAGAGTAGCTAACGGGGCGTGTTAGTGAGGGGACCCTACTGGCTGCCTCTGCTCTCTCCAACCTGCACATCTGGCCTGGGCTTTTTGGAAGACTAACATGTAGGGAGATGCATTAGGGCGTTCTGGAGAATTTTTCGCTTCTGTGCTGCTAATGGATGCTGCCAGGTAAGAGTCAAGTGTCCTCCTTTTACAGTGTTCCACGCAGGCGATCAGGAGTCAGGCTGGGTGATCCAAGCTATTCCCAGAAGTTAGACAAAGAACAATAGGAGAGGCTGATGTTTGGAATCAGCCAAGAAACAAGCCACTGGGAAGGAGCAGGCAGGAGTCAGGGGTCCTTGGAGCAGGTTGGGAAAGGAGAGTCAGGAATGGACAGACCTCCAAGCTGCTAGATACAATGAGATCAACTTGGGCAGTCTGTCTTCATAGGGCCATGCTACAGAAGGGCCATTTACCCCAGGTTCAAGGAATATAGAAGGTGGAGATAGAAAAAACCCACAGGAGGTTGTTGGTTCATAGCCTTCAATGAGACTCTCCCCTCACCTGGGTCCTGTCCCTGTGGTACTGCAGATCTCCTTAGGACTAAGTGCAAGAGGTTTGAGGGACAGTGGAAGGTCCCAGGTGCCTTGCAATGGCTAGTACTGATTGTCAACTTGGTGAGCTCTAAAATGACCTGGAAGATGGGCCTCCAAGAATGTCTGTAAGGGATTATCTCAATTGGTAAGACCTGCCCACTGTGGGTGGCACTATTCCCTAGGCTGGAGCTCCAGTGCTGTGTAAAAGGGATCTAGCTAAGCCCTGGCACACATACATTTATCCATCATTCCCTGCTCTTCACTGCAGATGAGAAGTGACCAGCTGCTTCAAGTTGTTGCTGCCTTGCTTTTCCTGACATGATGGACTATTTCCCTGAGATGTGAGCTAGAATAACCCTTTCTCCCTTAAGTTGCTTTTGTCTATCAGAGTCACAACAACCAGAAAAGAGCCTCAGACAGCTCTCCAGCCTTCACAGTGGTGGGGACTGTACCCAGAGAACTGTTTTTCAGACCTGGGGCCTCAGTTCTATAAAAACATTAAAAGTTGTCACCCCATTCTAACAATAATTAACAGACCACTCTCTTAGACCCGTCTGTCAGAGAAGTTGAGGTCACAGGGCATATTGCTCTCCCTAATGGTGGAAGGATAGATGATGAACACAGGGACCTCACGGGGACTTGGGAACCAGTGCTGGGGTCCAGATATGAGTTTCAACAGATAACTCATGGGAGATTCAGTCTACCAAGCCAGAGGGAAGACTTGAGCAGATCCAGCCCTCTAGAGGGAGGACTCCGGCAGATCCAGCCCTCTGGGAGTCCCCCACCCCCACCCCCGCTTTTGTGAGTTTTACCTGAAGGCACCAGGCTCTGTCCTCACAGTGAAGAGCTGAGAAAATTCCCGTCTGACTCCAATAGGAGGAGGAAAATGTAACCAGTTTTTTTTAGCACATGTTTTTTTTTAGTCCCATCAGGACCTGCCCCTAGGACTGCCGTTTCACCAGGTCCTGATCAGCTGAAGGAAGTGAGAACACATAATTCCAGTTTTCCTATCTGACCTTGGGGATAGGGACTGGGCACAGGGTCTCTCCAGCTTGAGATTCAGCTCAGTTGGCAAAGTGCTTACTTAACTCTCATGGTGTCCTGGGTTCAATCCCCAGCACACCATAAACAGGGTATGCTTGGGAAACTATGGCAGAGGTCATCCTTGGCTAAAAGCCAGCCTGGGCTACATGAGACTGCCCTTCCCCCGAAGCCTAAGACCCAGTCACACACCAGATAATACTTTTCCTCCCCCACACCTTACAATCCCCTTCAGCATTAAAAGCCTGCTTATTATCTATGACAGTTATTTTGTCTGGCCGATCTTTCCACAGTAAAACACAAAGGCCATCTAAAAGGCAGACCGTGCATTAGAGACGGAACAGACCTAAGAGTCAGCGCAGTGGTGTCCAGGATATTGGAATTATTAGATCAGGAATTTTAAAAACGAACCCCACCTATGATTAATGTACTTCAGAGACCCCAAGGACCAGCTTCTGTTCCCAAACTGGTTTGTCACCTGATTAAGACTCCATTTCCCCTGGAATAGGCTTTCCCCTATCGGCTTCTTAGAGTGCAAACCCAAACCACGTCAACAGGGGGCGCTCACATCATGTTCCATTATGGCTAATAGACTTTTCACTGAAATGGCCTATTCTTCCTAGACCCAGGAAAGTCAGGAAGATTCCTTTTACAGATTTTGAGTTTGTGAACAGGAGGATGGCCCAGAAGGGAACATTTTCTTTATACCACATTTTCATGGGGAAGGAAAAGCAAAGGAGAACAGAGTTGTGGAAAGCAATAATAAAAAGAAAATTTAGTGTCTGCCAGACAGGCCCTAGAAATTGCTTTTGATAGTCTTGTTCCATGTCTGTCTGTCTGTCTGTCTGTCTGTCTGCCTAGTTATCTATTCTTGTGTGGCAGGGGATGCATGGTGTACTGAGGCACACATCTGAGGTCAGATAGCAACTTTAGCAGCTGGCTCTCTCCTTCCACGTCTGTCGCTGCAGCAAGCATTCCTGTCTCTACTGCTTTGCAAGCTCTAGGTGATCTGGCTGCTGCTTCTGGAAGCTTCTCCTGTCTCTGCCCTCCATGTTGATGTAAAAGTCCCGGGATGACATCTGGCTTCTTCACATGGTTCCCAGGACTGAGCTCAGGTTGTCAGGAAGGAAAGTGCTCTTATCCACCGAGTCATTCCGCTATCTCCTGTTTTTATTAATTATTATTTATGCATGCGTGTGTGTGTGTGCATGGTGCATGTGGGTGTGTGCACACATGGAGGTCCAAGGAAAAATCTGTGGAGTTAGTTCTGTCTTTTCATTTTTGCATGAGATCCAACTCAGGCTATCATGTTTGCCCACGGAGCACTGTACCCACAGAGGGGTCTCCCCGGCTCCCTACTTTTTAAATTATTAATTAAAAGTATTTTGGAGACAGGTCTTATGTAGCTCAGGCTGGTTTTGAACGATGTAGGTGAGGATGACCTTGAACTCATGACTCTCCGGTCTCTACCTCTAAGGGTCTGGGACTACAGGCATATGTCACCTTACCCGCTGGCCTTGTTTTATAGATGGGAAACTGAGGCTCAGAAAAAGGAAAAGGACTTTGCAAGACCCATGGCTAGTGGACAGAGAGGTATTTGCAGTCCAGAGGTATCTGCAGGTGAGTTGGTCCTTGAAGCCTGATGACCTGAGTCTGACTTTCAGAACTCACATGATGGAAGGCGAGAACTCCCACAATTCTCTCTAGCCTCCACATGTGTGCCATGTACCTATGTGCACACATACAAAATAAAAAGTAATAAAAAATCTGATGGTTCCCCAAACTTTCACCAGAACCTTCCTCCCATCCCCACCTCTACCTCCCCTCAGCCGAGACCTCATTCATCACCATGGAGCCCAGAACTGGAGCCCCTGGGGGCTCCCGGGAGCTGTACTCCACTGGGTGACAAGCTGCCAGGCTGAGGAGTGGTTCATTTTGTCCCTCAATTCCAAAGGCATTTCAGAGACCACAGGTGCTGCCTCTTGATGAGAATACAGATTGATTTTTTTTATTTCCTCCTTTATAATTTCCAAAATCATCTAAGATCTGGCAGCTAGAATTTTATAATCCCTCTCACATCTTGTTCTCAATGGAAGAAATCAGAAGGCAGAGAAATGTCCAGTTGTGTACTGAGATCCACTGAGTAAGGCCAGTCTAAGTGTCTGTCACGGGCCACACAGGCTCCATGTTGGAAGAAGGCCTGAAGGCATCAATTACACTGCCTGGCTTCCCAGGTCACGTAGGCAGACTCCCTTCTTCCTCACCCTTCACCATGTCTGCTCCCTGAAGTGCCCTCTCATCTCCACAGCCAAACTGGATTCAGCTATCAGAGGCCCAACACTGTCCCACCCAATGTGGAAGGGAGTTGCAAAGCCCTGTATCTCCCAATCATATTGGCCATTGCCCACTTCCTCTGATCAATAAAGATACTTTCCTTGTACCCATTTTGTGAACTTTATTATCTCCTGCCTTACCCTGGCAACCCCTGCACCCAAGTCCCTTTCTGAGTGGGGCCTGTATAATGTTTATTTTTTTTAGCTTTGGGGCCATCCTCAGCCCTGTGTATGTTATACTTCCAAAGAGTGACGGACATATAGAAAGGTGACAGTCCTATTTTAAAAGAGAATATATTCTGTGTCGTGGGAACATCCGTGGTATTAACCCACTCAATGCCAGTAAATACTTCCAGTTGTCACAACTAAACTCTGTTGGCCTTGCTGACTGTCCCCTGCAGAGCAAAGGTGCCCCCCTCTGTGGCCCACTGATAGAGATTGATAAGGGATTTTCATAAAGCCCTGAGGAGTGGCTAGGAATGCCCATCTGACGGATACGAAGGGCGAGGCTTGGGAAGAGCTTTTGTGGAAACTAAGTTTTATACTCTTGCTTCTGATTTCTAAGGCCAGGGCTCATCCCACATTCTAGAGTCCTCTGAGAACCCCAGCAAAATCTTTGCTTCTCCTCTTTGGTGTATTAGATCCAGGTCTGTCATATCCCTGTCCTTTCCCCTGTCCCACCCCCATAGCCTGTGCTAGGTTGTGACCCCTTGGCTGGCCTGCTGGTCGGTGTAGTGTGGATCTCAGGCTGGCCCTCAACACTCCCATTACTTCTTCTTTAGCTCCTTGGGCTCCTCCCCATGTTTGAACACGCTGATGGTGACCTGGCCAGTCTCTGAGCCATACTTGTTCTTGACGAAGATTCCATAGCGCCCGCTGTCTTCACTGGTGACCTTGTCAATGGTGACGGTGACCTCTGTACCCTTCACCTCCATGTGGTATCGGTCAAAGAAGGAGACAGGCTGGTCGTTCTTTAGCCAAGAGATTTCGGGGGACGGGTCTCCTGAGATGACGCAGGTCAGGCACAGGGTCTGTTTTTATGGATGGGAAGAGAACAATTTTACATCCTTGTAACCTGAACTTGACACCCACCTCTATATGCACATGGGGGGCTACTAGTCCAGGCAGCTGCTCTGCACAGAGGGTATGTGCGCATGTGTGCATTCGAGTGTGTATGTGTGTGTGTGCTTTAAAAACAATGTCTTATGTATCCTAGACTGGCTTTGAACTTGATAGGTAGGTGAGGATGACCTTGAACTCCTGTCTTTCTGCCCCTACATCCTTAGGGCTGGAATGCAGGCATGTCCAGTGTATGCAGTACTGGAGGTTGAACACAGGGCTTTCTGCATGCTAGGCAAGCACTCTACCAACTAAGCCATGTCCCCAGCTCTTCTGTGTGTCCTATTATACCTCGCAAAGGGAGACATGTTTTATTTTAACCCCACCTTCTCCAACTCTCAACTTTTTTTTTTTTTTCGGTTTTTCAAGACAGGGTTTCTCTGTGCAGTCCTGGCTGTCCTGGAACTCACTCTGTAGACCAGGCTGGCCTCGAACTCAGAAATCCGCCTGCCTCTGCCTCCCAAGTGCTGGGATTAAAGGTGTGCGCCACCACTGCCTGGTAACCCTCAACCTTTTTTTTTTTTTTTTACCAAATTTTGTTGTTGTTGTTTTGTTTTTTTTTTTTTTTAGATTTATTTATTTTATTTATGAATATACTGTAGCTGTCTTCAGACACACCAGAAGAGGGCATTCAATCTCATTTCGGATGGTTGTGAGCCACCATATGGTTGCTGGGACTTGAACTCAGGACCTCTGGAAGAGCAGTCAGTGCTCTTAACCGCTGAGCCATCTCTCCAGCCCAACCCTCAACTTTTTATAGAAAAAGTTTCTTGGTAGAATCTTAGACAATTCTCTATTAACGACCTAGTAGTGAGTTCCAGGGAAGCCAGGGCTACACTGAGAAACCATGTCTCAAAAAAAAAAAATGTGTTTGAGTGTTTGTCTGCACATATGTACGTATGTTTGTAGTGTATGTATGTATATATGTGTGTATGCATAAGACATATGTGCAGTGCCTGTAGAGGCCAGAAGAGGGCACTGGAGCCCCTCAAAATGGAGTTACAGATGTTTGTGAGCCACCATGTGGGTGCTGGGAATTGAACCTGGGTCCTCTGGAAGAACAGCTAATGCTCTTAACTGCTGAACGACCTTAGCCCCTAAGATTGTACTGCTTACATACAAAGGTTTGTAAACTGAATTTGGAAGTTCTTGAGTGAGGTCTAAGGCAGCATATGGCACATGATGAAACTCAACAGCCTCTGGAACTGAGTTGCTGGGATATGAACCTCAGCTCTGCCCGTCAGGTTGTGTGGCCTTCACTATTCCTTTAACCCCTCTAGGTCTTAGTTTCCCCTGCTGCCAAGTGGGACTAGAATTAATACCCTAGTTCCAGCGGTTGCTTCATGGGTGGGAGGGTGGGGGCAAAATCAGTGGAGATGTGTATCAATGTGTATTAGTAGCCAGCACAAAGCAAACACCAGAAAGACTTTTGAAAACACTACAGCTTTTAGGGGTCACCTAAACTCTTGTGGGAGCCAGAGTCACAGATGGCAGGCTCCCACCAAGGCTGTCTAAAGATGGGACAGAGCCAGGCTGAGCACAGAGGTCTGACTCCAGGCTCACTGGTTTTCCTTGATACACATGTCATCACTGAGCCATGTGACCAGCTGTGGCAGGTCCAGCCTGTCTGACTAGCCTGTCACCTTTAGCACTTGAATCCATAGCACTCCACTATAGTATGACCTGGAAGGGATCCTCGAGGGAACACCAGCATGGGATGTCTGGCTGTGGGCCAGGAGGAACGGTACCTTATCTTCCATGATGGTGGCCACATCTGGCAGACCCCTCACCACTTTAGCCCGATCTGGAATGGAAAGAAATGTCCTGAGTGGTAGAGTCCTGCCAGCTGCCCCCTGCCCAGCAGCTTCCCTCAGAGTGGAGGGTTTGTATCAGGGAGGTTTCTTTCTAGTTCCTTCCTCAGTGCCTCCTCTTGAGCTCCTTCTCTCCGTGGGTGGAAGACATGATACATGAGCCGTTTCTGCCGCCATTGAGGTCAGTCTGATTAGTGGTACCCAGGGATTACACTGAATGGTTTCTGTCCTCAAGAGAAAGATGGTAAGTGAGATAGCTCTGAACTGGAACTAACGGATTCTGACCCACAGTGGGGGTGGGGCACCAAGAGGGGGCCGGGGAAAGTAGCAGTCTTTGGGACTTCCTGACTCTGGTCCAAGGAGGGTCCTGGTGGCCACAGGAGGACAGTGAGGCTATAAATTACTAGATAGGGAGTCAAATGCATCCCTGATGCTGCATCGGAGGCCATGGGGAGGCCTAGACCATGTGTCCTAGATAAGCAAAAAGCCTGGTGCAGAAGCTGTTGTCCAGTGTGAGGGAGAAGGACCCTGACTCAGACAGGGAAGGCCTCAGGAATGGACACAGCCATGGGCAGGAAGTTGTACTAGCTTTCCACAGCTGAGGAGGTGATCCAGTTCCCTCCCTGACTCCAGTTTCTCAAGTCCCAGCAACCACATGGGGTCAAGTTCAAGTTCCTTCTACGGGAGTCCTGGATGCAAGGGGACATTTGTGTTGTTGGTGGTGTGAGGGTCCCTCTGGCCTGACTGCACGTGGAGCTGGCTGACTATGCTGTCTCCTCCAAGGTTGGCTGACCCTGGGATATGGAACCTGGGATTGTCAGGATTGCAGTTACAAATCCAATGCCCGTCCTTTGTGTCACTTGGGGACACTAGAGAGAGGCACCAGCAGATCTGTGTTGATGGCCCTGCAGTGTCCTTGGTGCTCATGGCTAACTAGGTCCCTCCCTTGTCAGGCTGGTAAGGCCCGGGGACTCTGCCGCCTCCTCTGTCCTTCACTGAATGCCATCACTGGGCTGTGGAGACCTGAGAGCTATACTCTTAATGCTGGACTGTTCAAAGCTGGCTACGGGGAGGGGGTGAGCTTGTATGTAGAACAGATTTGAACGTGGATTGGCGGTGGCTTTCTGGGTGCTCTGTCACATCCCCTATGTCTGGGGCTGATTCTGGGTTAGACCCACCATCACCTCCCCCACCCCCGCAAGCCTTCGGGTTCCAGGCCTATGTTCCCCTTCCTATGTCCCACTTGCACAGGCTAGCCCCGCCTCACTCCTCTCAGGTCTCTGTCACTGGGTTCCCACCGAGGGCGGTGTGCACCTGCTCAGCACCAGACCCACACCAGTCTGTCCAACTGACGTCACGTGTCCTTAGGTTCCTTCTCCACCTGTCTTTTTATGGCCAGCTCCCAGATGTCCCCAGAACCTGTCAGGAGGCTGGGGTCCTAGAGAAGTCAGCCTAGACTCAGGAACATGAGGAACAAGACAACCGGGGACTCACTCTTCTCAATGACAGCCAAGGCCCTGAAACACAGAAAAGGGGACAGAGTGGTGTCTTCCCTCCCTGTGTGAGGCAAGGAACCAGCTAACACTCCCAGCAGAGGCCTAAAAACAGTCACTCTACCCCTTGGGGGGGGGGCTGCGATTCACAAGGAAAGGGAGGAGAAACTTACTTCAGTCTCTGGTGCTCTGCCAGGGCGTCATCAAAAGCTGTAGGACAAAGAAGACAGGACAGGGCTGAGAGGGGACTGTATCTCCAGTTCCCTCTCCACTCTGGGATTCTCACAGAGCAGTGCCAGGTTTGGAGGGAGAGAGTCTCCCAAAAGACCACGGGATTTTCTTTTTTTCTATATTTTTTTTTTCAGAGCTGAGGACCAAACCCAGGGCCTTGCCTAATACGCGCTCTACCACTGAGCTAAATCCCCCACCCCCCCCCCCCCCACTTTTTTTCCTGTATCTTTTTGAGACAAGTTTCCACTGTTTAGCCAAGGATGATCTGGTTTGAACTTGCTATCCTCCTGCCTCCACCTCCTTCGTGTTAAGATTACAGGCATGTGCCGCCCTGTCTGACCTCATTGTGGGATTTTCCTTTAAATGTTTTGGTTTTGGGGAAGGACAGGAGCGATGGCTAGAGGGCCATGGGAATGAACGCAAATCTGTAACTGACAGGGGTGGGGAAGTAGGGGAGGGGCCTCTCCAGGAAGACAGAGACCTGGGATAAGGAAGTCCCCAGGAATCAATGGGGGTGACCTTAGCTGTGACTCACTACACTGGGGATATGGAAGCTGAAGAGGTCACCTCCTATAGCCACACAGGAACCCCAGTGGAGCAATAGGGACACCAACTCACCCACAAAACTTTCAACCCAAAATTTATCCAGTGTACAAGAAATGCAGGCTCAGGGGACAGAGCAGAGACTAAGGGAATGGCCAACCACTAACCAGCCCAGCTTGAGACCCATCACACGGACAATCACCTGTCCCTAACTCTATTAAGGGTACTCTATCATGCTTGCAGACAGGATCAAGTTGTCCTCTTAGAGGCTCCACCCAGCAGCTGACTCAGACAGGTAAGACACTGACAGCCAAACAGTGGATGGAGCTTGGGGACTCTTATGGAAGAACAGGAGGAAGGATTCCAGGCCCCGAAGGGGATAGGAACTCCACAGGAAGACCACCAGCCAACTAACCTGGACCCCAGAGGGCTCTCAGAGACTGAACAGCCAACCAAAAACATACACGGTCTGGACCTAGCACCCCCACCCCACCCACCCCTGACCCCCTACCCTGCACACATGTAGCAGATGTGCAGCGTGGTGTTCACGTGGGCTGGGCTGCCTTGTCTAGCCTCACAGAGACTTGAAGTGCCAGGGTGGGGGATACCTAGAGGGGCTCCCACTTGCTCAGAGGAGATAGAGGATGGGGGGAGGAGGGGGAAGGACTGTGGGAGGGGGTAATGGGGGCAGTGAATGGGATGTAAAGTGAGTAACTAAAAAAAAATTAAATTATTTTTTTCCCATTTGTTGTTATTGTGTGTGGCTGTGAAGGTCAGAGGACAATTTCACGGAGTTGGTTCTCCTCTTCCAGTTTTATATGAGCTCAGGGTATCAGTTTTGCACAGCAAGGGCTTTTAACTCCTGAGCCTTCTCGCCACTCCTCCACCCTCTGTGTGAGGTAGTCTGGGCTGGTCTCAAACTCACTGTGTAGCTGAAGATGACCTTGAAGTCTTGATTCTCCTGCCATGGTGCCTGAGCCTCTGGGATTGTCTAGACAGAGCTCTCAGCAGACAGACAGACAGACAGACAGACAGACAGACAGACAGGAGGATGGCTCACCTTGCCCAGATAGGTCTGCTGAGAGCTGCCGCACTTCCTTCCCAGCAGTGATCTCCAGGGTGTATTTGCCCTTATCTGAGTCCTTGGGGTCTAGGATGTGGAGCCAAATCTCATCCAGGGTGGTGCCTGCCCGTACCCGATCGCCACTCTCTAGACGCTTGTCTCTGAATGCAGAAGCACAGAAGGGTTAGGGCAGACCGTGGGTCTGACTCCCTGGCTGCCCCTCAGACACTTGCTATGATCCACTCATCCATTCACTGTATAGTGCTTCGTTTATTGCTGACCATCCACCCATTCGGCATTCAGCTACTCCTCCCTTCATCCAATCCCATGGCAGACCATCTGCAGACAAAAGCTGGGTCTGTGGTATGCCCTGCAGGCTGGAGCAATGAGCAGAGGGCATTCTTGGAGCAGTGACCTTCCTGTTCTGGGGGGTCATGTTCCCACCTCTTCCAACCTTCCCGGTGTTTCTGCCCACCCGTCTCTCCTAACTTCAGAAATCAGAGAGGGTTCAACTCTTCCTTCTCTTCTTAAATTTCATCCCTAAAGATACCTAGTCTATGTCTCCAGTGTTCTGTTCCCTAAGCCTATTGACACAGGACTCAGAAACTCTGGCTGGAGAAGGAACCCTGTGTTTCTGAAGCTTCCTATGGCCCTCACTTTCATTGCACAGATTTCCCCAACTCCGTCCGGGCTTCCCTATAGAATGGGCGCAACCATGTCTGCTCCACAAGGCTGAGGCCTGCACATGGCAAGAAGCTCTGGGGGAGATCCTGTTCTCAAATTATCTGGGGTGACTTGACTGAATCTTTGTAGAAACCTTCCTGATCTCCTGTTCCAACCCTCCCACAGCTCGCTCTGGCTGGACCTGCCTCCTGGGCCTGGATACTTGGCTCTATTGAGACTACAGGGGCCGACAAGTGTACGTCACTCTAGTGACTGGCTCTTCCTGACTCCTGCATCCTTTCCTCCCTCAGTTTCCAGATATGCTCTGGAAACCAGAATCCTTCTGTTGTCATGGAGACCTCAGATAAATGGCCCTACCATCTGCAGTCCCATCTTCCCTGGGGACTCTTCTATTCCTTTCTTCCCCGTGGGCAGGACCTGTGGAAGAAGGTCCCCTCTGCTCATCCTTTAGTACTGGGATCTGAGGGAGGACTAGCTAGTGGGGAGGAGGAGAGGACTCCTCAAGGCGCAGGTACTGGAACCTTCCAACTGGCAAGGGCTCCGGGGCGTGGCCAACCTACTTGTGGAACCAAGCAGTCTTCATGTAATCCACGTTGTAGTACTTGACCTTGCTGAAGAGCCGGATCCCCTCCTCAGTCCCCTGGATTTTCAGTGGGGTTGCAGAGAGAGCTGAGGATACAGAGGTGAGTGTCCCTGAGAAGCTGGGAGTTTTGGAGCCAGCCTGCTTGCTGCAGCTCCAGAGAAGTATGGAAGGAACACCATGCTGTGTGGGGGCAGGGCCTTCCATCCCCCTCACTGAGGGCAGATGCTAGACCCATGTCTGAAACTGCTAAGGCTGTTGGAGGAATCCTCAGAGACTTGTTGGCATAAGCCAAAGCCAAGGCATAGTGGAGGGCATGCTCACTTACCACCAATCCTGCCCAGCTCTGTGAGGACAGCATCTAGGGCTGGAAAGAGACAGATGGTGAGCTGGGTGGGTTCCCTTAGGAATGTTGGGGTGATGGCGGTGGCTTTGGAGAAGGGTGAGGAAGCTCAGAGCCTCTCTGAGGGTGGAGACTGGAGAATGACGGGGATGGGAGGGGTTCTTGGGTGTTGAGTGATGGATGGATCAGGCTGCCATCTGATCTATCTATCTATCTATCTATCTATCTATCTATCTATCTATCTATTCTACATGTAGCCCTTGCTGTCCTGGAACTCCCTCTGTAGACCAGGCTGGCCTCGAACTCACAGAGATCCACTTGCCTCTGCCTCCTGAGTGTTAGGATTAAAGGTATGTGCCACCACTGCTGGGCTCCATCTAATTTTCTTATGAGCTGTGTCAACCAGCCTCAAGAAGAGCCAGGGCCCTCTGTGGGTGGAGAATCGTCAAGTTTGGATTAACTGTGGCATACCATAGCAGCACACATATCAGGTCCCTGTCAGTGGCTGGCTGTGTAACCTCGGGCAACTCATTGAACCTCTCTGTGCCTCAGTTTCCCCAAGAGGCACAGAGATTCTACACATTTTAGGCCACATGTCATACCACAGTCTCTTGCTCCTGTGTGAGCTTCCCACACCTCTCCTCCCATCTCTGACTTGACTAGCTCCTACCTTCACCTGTGAGGTCCAGCACAGTGTCGTCCTCCCCTCGCTCATCAGAAACCACCGCTCTGTAGACTCCCTGGTTGTCTTTGGAAAACTACGGAAGAGGATGACAGTGTGTGCGAGGGGTGGCGGCGAGTCAGGAGGTCCCAGGCCTCCACCCTGGGCTCTGTGAGCTCTGGAGTTGGTGGGTCTAGGGGAGTGTGTGCATGTGTGTCTGAGAGTGTGTGAGTATGTGTGTGAGAGTACTTGTGTGCATGAGACTGTTTGTATGAATGTGTGTATGTGTGTGAGTGCATATGAGTGTGAGCGTTTGATTGTGAGTGTACATGTGTGTGAGTGTACCTGTGAATGCATGGATGTGAATGTCTGTATGCGTGTGAGTGTATTGTGTGAGCATGTGACTGATTGTGTATGTGTGTGAGGGTGTGAGTGTACGTGTGAGGGCATATGAGTGAGTGTTTGTATGTGTGTGAGTGTATGTCTGAGTGTTTCAATGTGTATGACTGTGTGTGCGTGTCTGAGAGTGTGTGAAAGTGTTTATGTGTGTGACTGTGAGTGTATTTGTGTGTGAGTGCATATGAGTGTGTTTGTATAAGTGTGGGTGACTGATTATGCATGTGTGTATAAGTGGATGTGTGTGTTTGTACAAGTTGTGTGTAAGTATATGTGTGAGTGTATGTGTGTTTGTATGTGTGTGTGTGTGTATGAGTGTTTGTATGAATGTATGTATGTGTGTAGGTGTTTTTATGTGTGTGAGGATTTGTATGAGTGTGTCTAACTGGTTGTGTATGTGTGAATGTAGGTGTGTGTGCTTGTACGAGTGTGACTGACTGTGTATGTGTGTGAGTGAATGAGTGGATGTGATTGAGTGTATGAGTGTTCGTGTTTGAGTGTCTGTTTGTGAGTATGTGAGTGTTTGTGTGAGTGTATGAGTGACAGTGTGTGAGTGTGTGTACTGAAGGTAGAAATGAACTCTAGTTTTGTGTCCTTGAACTTCATGTGCCAGAGTCTCAGTTTACCCTTCTGTGAAGTAGCTCTGGTGTCCTCGCTGTTCTTCAAGGAGCCAGGGATTAACACTGTGAGAGCCAGAAAGCCCCGCCCATAAGACTCCAGGGATTAACACTGTGAGAGCCAGAAAGCCCCGCCCATAAGACGCCATGAA